TGCCCAAATTATTAAAAAAAACCTCCCCGACGAGTGCTGCTGTAGCCTTTAGGAAGCAGTAGGCTTGGGAAATGTGTAGAGCTCTAGTTCAAATCAAAGGCAGTTGTTTGGCAGGATTTTAATTTGCTGACACAATTACAACTGCTATACTTGCAAAACTGTGTATAGTTATGAAAAATCCTATCAAATAGGAAAATAGTCTGGAAAGTACTGTGACTATTCTCCCTAGTGTACAATTCTGTGCAGCAGTAATTTCACAGCTTTCAGATCTTGTGTGTAACACAACAGCTGCTGTCTACTGTTTTTTTAATTTATTTTAGTTTGGGTGTGTTTTTATTTGTTTTGTGGGGTGGTTTGTTTGTTTGTGTTTTGTTTGGGGTGTGTGTGTTTGTTTATTTATTTTACAACTTTTGCTTCTAGCTCCTGCCCAGGAATTCCACTTTATGATGAGGCTGTGGTATAAATCTAAGTCCTGCAGTATGTTAGATTTAATCTCTCTGTAGTTGAGGATGTTCAGTGCTCATCAGGGTCAGTTTCTGCATTAAAATCTCGTATCGGTCTATATAGCTTACCAGTCTTCATAGAGGGAAGTTTGTTCCTGTTCTAGCTCATAGTGTAATTATAAAAAGTTATCAAAGGGGGTTACCAAGTGGACCTGATGTGGAAAAAAGTGTACTGTGAAGTGATTAAGAATTGCAGGATTTGGTACTGTATTTTTACCTGTTCTCACACATACTGACCAACTCTTATGCTCTTTGCTTTTCAGGTTGTTGAAGACTGGAAATTTATTGCTCAGGTGCTTGACCGAATGTTCTTATGGACTTTTCTTCTGGTTTCAATAATTGGATCGCTTGTGTTATTTATTCCTGTTATTCATAAATGGGCAAGTATAATAGTACCTACACATATAGGCAGTACAAATGCATAAAATATCTCTGGATCTGTCTCCTGCTAATATGGTTCTAAAGAGTTTTGCAGTAGTTCTATTTCCGTGCACGTTCTTTGTAGGCATATTTCTGATAGAGTAAAAAATATGCCAAACAAGTAAATTATGTTCATATTAAAGCATGGCGTCCCTAGGACACATAGAAGTCAGTTTGCTTTTTGCCAGTCTACTAAGTTACTTCTAAATCAGGTCAGAATTAAAAGGACCCTCTCAAGGACTTGCATGTATGATATGGCAGAAAAGCATACACTGACACCTACTGCAAAATAGAAGGATTTACATTTTTTTAATGATGGTCACTGTAGTCCAGTTATTAAATTACTATATAGATCGTTATATTGAGTATTAAATATTTGCAGATATTTACACAGTAGGGTTGCTTATTTCAATTTAGTATGCAAAAGAGAATTTTTATCAGCTCTCTCGAATGTGTTGTAAAAGTATAAAGTTTCTACAGAGTAAATTTAAAGTAATAATAAAAATACCAGTTAAACTTCCTGTATATTCAATATATAAATAAAAATAGCGACTTAGATATGTTTTGCCTTTATAAATTTTCAGTGGAATTTGCTGCTAAATTTAAAACCTTGTTAATTCTATCATACTAACATGAACATTTAATACTGTAAGCCTTAGAATGCCTAGAGGATACATATACATTGGTATCTCTGTATCAGCTATGGAAAGGAAGGCCATGGCAATTAAATGAATTCCCAAGTTGTGCAAGTATTCTAATAGACTGGAATATTCAGATTTCTTTATTCTTGATGAAGAATTTGATACAATATATCAGTTGCAAGCATGTTAATAATTTCCTGCCTTTGTGTGTTTCTCAGAATTAAGGTTTTAAGCACAGGTAGAAGGAATTTGGGGAATGTCTTTCTCAAGGAAAATTATTATGCTGGTGATTAAGTTTTCACACATTTGTTAAATCGAACTTAGAAAGCTACTTCTAATAAGTTCTCTCACTTACAGAACCATATGTAACTCTAAGCAGCGAGGACTTAGGGCTTTCCATACTTTGTTTTTTCTGATGGTGTTGAAAACTAACTTCCAACTTTTTAATCATTCCATTAAAATATATTCTTTAAATACTGATTTTAAATTCTTTACATTCATTCCAATGCCACCTTTCTTAAAAGCTTTATTTCTGGAAGAGAAATAGTAGAGGGCTTTCCTACACCGAAGTTTTGTCAGTGTACTTCATAATACAGTTGCATCCTGCAGGTCTAATACAGTGGTGTGCCAAGCTAGAGCAAGTTCTGGGAAATTTTTATTTGCTTAAATTACTACATTAATAATAACATGTTTATGTGAGAAGTTGAATGTAAATTGTGGTATCTTTGATAATGTAAGTTTTTATAGGGGTTATGAATTTGGAAAACAGATACATTTTTCCACACCCTCCCCCCATCCACTTTAGAATAGCACTGTATGGCACTGTAGTGATTATAATACTGAATGCTTATGTCATAACTTCTATATAAATGAATATTTATTTCAAATTGTTTTCACCTGTAGGACATTGTTGGTTTTGTGCAGCTTTTTAAGGCTGCAGGCAGGGAAATGATGCCAGGCAAGCCTTTTTGGTCTTTTTGTTTTGTTTTTAAACCAATTTATAAATAATTCTAATTGTAAAGGGAGTCACTCTTCAGTTATACAATTACATCTGGCATTGGATATCCATATTTCCTCTATTCCCATCATCACGAATTTTAAAGGTGAATTTGTAAAGATTATCTGATTTAATCCATTCATATCATAATTTTAACTTTTAATATTACTAAGTTTAAACAACGCATCAGTGACTTTGTGTGGAAGTTGCAGAAATACTTTAGACATCTTATTTCCTCTTCAAATGCAAAATTTCTTTTTATAGTCCTCCTTGGGTTTGAATTACTGAAGCTTACTCTTACCTGAACAGAAATCAAAGTGAGTAAAACTATAGATTAGCTATATATTTTATTTTTCAACTCCCCACCTCATCTCTTTCCCCTTTTTAAATGGTTTCTGTAGACTGCCTAATTATACCATAAGGTGATTGGCAGCGTATTGGGTAATGGAGTCCCAGTCTTTATACTAGTAACTCACAACTTTTGCAAGTGCATGAATTTCTTCTAGTTACTTCTACAATCTGATCATGATAAATACAGATAAGATACTAGAATCCTTGGGGTCTTCAGCTTATCAGGTGTGTCTGAAACAAAAGCTTTAATAGACTCAGAAGCATGGACCTTTACTTATGTAACTTGTTTCTGAATGCGTTGAACTGTAGCTAATGCTACCTTATACAGGTTTTTGTCACTTGGTCAAAATAAATGGGAAAAAAAGCACACAATTTTCAACAGCTTGATTCTCTTTATTTTCATAAATGTTACATCACTTGATACACTGCATTTCCAGAAAGTTTCCAGTTTGGTACAGAGAGGACAGTTCATATCTTTACAAAATATTTTCTCATTACAGTATTTTGTTGCATTATTTATTTTGCTCTTAAATTATCTGCAGTTACTGATAAAAAAGCCCAAACACAAACATGTGCCTGAGAAGCAATTTCGGCATACTTTACAGGATCATTTTTCTATCTACCTGCCTTCCCTTGTCATAAAGTAATTTGCTATAGCAGGATGCTTCTGTATCCAAACTATCGTATCAAAGTATTTTGATCCTTTGCATAACCTGCAGACTGCATCGTAATGTGTGTTTTACTTGTACACAGTTTCAAACGTTACTAGGTTTGAATAGCTTGTTTTTTCTGACAGTCTTCTCATACATTGAAATATGGGGATGCACAGAGTTTACATTATGGCTGCTTTATTACCATCATCTATTATTTACCTATTCATTTTCCTTTTGTAATAAACTTGCCCATAGCCCTTTCCTCCCACTGTTTGAGTCAGTTTATACACCAGGTGGCAACGTCTGCATTCTAGCAATTTGGTATGTATGCTTCCTAAAGCATGAAGGCATTCATTGAACGTATTCCTGTCACAATCTGAAGAGACTTGGCATCAGACTCCTGGAAACTAATCTAGTAGCCCAAAGTATTCAACCTGTCTTGATTTTTCCAAATATTCATGTAATTTTTGGTTTCTTTATGAACCCCTTCTTAAACCTTTCCTGTAAAGTTTAATGTTCTACCTACATCTTTTCCAGTTATTGCAAAAAGTAGCTGTCAAGCACAGTTCATTACTTTGAGATAAGCTGCCATAAAGGTTCAAATATTTTTCTTTTTTTTTTTTCACGTTTCCACGTTTTTCACAAAGCCTTCTTGGTCAAGCAAAGTTGAGGCAGAGAGAGATCCTTGTTCTACTACACATAGAAGAGACATCAGGTGCTCGGGTGGGGGTGCAGAGTTGGTGGGTAGAAGTTTTATTCGATTTCACAACATACTGTTTAATCTTTACATTTCGTCTCCAGCCATCAAAGGTTGTAAAAACAATCCTGCTGTTCCTAGAATACATACCAAGATGAAAACCCATAGAAAAATTCGATCGATTACCATGGCAACGTATTTCCAGTCATCCTGAATCTGAAAAATAAATTGAATAGCAAGTAGGAATGATTATTAGGTGAACAACTTGCATTAGTGATGAGTACCATTTTATATAGAAAGCACAAGTTTTTTTTTCCATATGTAAATGTCTTTCATATATGCACAACTTCTATATCTCTGAATTCATCTTGAAGAAGCTTTATTTGAATATGCTATTTGTGGCAAAGCCAAAAGCTACTTCTTCAAATACAAAAAGTTGTTCACCAAGACACTGGACTTCATGAGATAGAACTTCTCTTTTGTATGCAAAAAATGAAAGTGAAAAGCTTTACATTCTTAGATGATCAGGTTTGTCCAGAAAACTTTATTGAAACAGACTGCTTCTACTGGTCTTTAGGCAGTATGTAAATGACAAAGGTTAATTGATATATAATTACTGGTAAGTTTCTTATGCAGTAGTGAAATTTGATTGTTCTTGTGCATGATGTAAAACTTATCTCCTTACCTTCCATGTAGAGAGGGAATCACGTTTCCAAAAAACCATCTTTTTCTAATTATTTTTTTTTAGAGTGTGGGCATTATAACAAGAGTGACACTGAAGTATTATATATGTTATATATTAATAGTAAGTAGATCAGGTGATCATTTGAGTTAACTCTTGAGATTATACTTTAAATTTTTGCTTAATTTTTCTTCAGGAAGGCTAATGAGTAATGCATTAGTTGTTTTTGAAATTTTGTGCTTTTTTTAGCTTAGAGCTTGTTTGTTAAGGCAGACTTAAAAAAAAAAAAACAACTCCCTATTTTCTATACCAACTAATTCTAAATAAAGTTCTGATTTCATCATAAACAAAGTAACTTCATTCTAACTTTAAGTGTCATGCTGCAGAGGATTTAAATTCAGTGACTCTTAGTGCTTGAGGAACACAACAAAAAGAAAACTCTTTTTTTTTTGCATCAAGATGCAGTTTTATGAAAGATTATGGTCCCCGTCTTGCAGCAGTTGTCTCATTTAGCTACAGCACTTTACTCTGCAGTGGCAGCAGAACAAGCAACATCATCCCTGCAAAGGACATTCATTGTTACCTTCTTTGTTATTGATGGTAAGCTGTGGGAAGGAGAATGTAACTTTCTAGCGGCCATAGAGTCCGCAAATTCCACTATTAAAGAGTATAACTTGGAAAATCCTCACTCTGAAGGTTGTAGGGTGGATACTCAAGTATGTTTCCCTAGCAGTGGTTACCTTAATGTGCTTCACTCAGTATATGTGTTGTCAATAAAGAGAATGTTGTGCAACAGAGCTGCTCCCCAAAATTATCTACATTCAGCATTGCACATATTTGTAATACAGCTTGGGTAATTTACTTGTATAAAATAATGGTCTGTGTTGTCCTTTTTTTTCTTTTTTTGGGGGGTGGGGGTGTTGTGGGGGTTTTTTTGAGATTCCTTTTTCTTACAAAACACACTAATGGCAAATGGTGTCTGCAGTTTGAGTAACAGTAAAATACATTCTTACCTCTTTTGCTTCATTCTGCATTTTCATGTTTTCTGCAATGTATTTAACACTTTCAATAGCATCTCTCATTTCTGGTGACAGAACTGAAAATGAAAAGAGAGGATCTACAGACTCAGAGCTTGAACTTCTTGTGAGATTGCCAGTGAAATCCGAGAACTTTATTCGTTGATACTGACAACAGCTGCATGCCGTATCTTGACATACAAAGCCATCCTTGCAGCATTTGGTTTCAGAACTGTTGAAGCAATTTAAGTTTGAAAACTCAGAAGTGAAAAATGGTTTTGGCTTCTGATTATTCTCTTCGTCACTGGCAGGCCTTGTCATAAACATGATCCTTGGAAGTAAGTTCAAGAAAATGGTTCTCACCCACACGGGCATTGTGTGTGTCTTGGGTGTTCTGTAGTGCACGTTAAGTACAAATACCGTAATGACAATAGATAGAGTTACAAATATCATGGTGAAAAGGAGGTATTCCCCAATAAGTGGAATTACCAGAGAAGTAGAAGGTATGGTTTCTGTGATAACAAGAAGGAACACTGTTAAAGATAAAAGGACTGATATACAGAGCGTCACCTTCTCGCCACAGTCTGAAGGCAAATAGAAAACTAACACAGTCAGAAATGAAATCAGCAGACATGGAATAATCATATTGATAGTGTAAAATAGAGGTAAACGCCTAATGTAAAGAGAATATGTGATGTCTGGATATATCTCTTCGCAGCAGTTGTATTTGATGTCATGTTTATACCCAGGAGCTTTAATAATAGCCCATTCTCCGCTCTCCCAGTAATCTTTCAGGTTCATTGTAGAGCCAATTAAAACTAAGTCAATTTTGGCTTTATCGTAAGACCAGGAACCAAACTTCATGGTGCAGTTCTGATAGTCAAATGGGAAGTAGGTTACATCTATTTTACATGAGCTTTTAAATATAGCTGGAGGTATCCAGGTCACATCACCCGTGTATTTTAATAGGGCCTTTGTCTTGTCATCAACCTGGAAATCCCCAACTGCACTGTAAAGCAAATAAAAATAACAAACATTAGAATGCAGCTACTCCAGGTGGTTTCATACATTCACATCACATACTTAAACTCTTTAAGCTGTTTTGGGAAAGCCAGTAATTACATATGAACATGGAGCTGAATTGCATGTGCAGGACTGAGTCAGCGGCCATTATAAATTTGCATAGTTAAACTGAAATAAACAGCTGTATAAATTCACCATGGAGGATTTGAAAGGAAATATTCTGCCTTACAAAAACATGGCTCAGTGCAATCAATATTCAAAGCAGCAAATAGGAGATTGCAAATGGCAGTCCGACTAGATGATCATTGTAGGTCCCTTCCAACTGAAGTGTATTATTCTTTTTTATTCTAGACCAAGCACATCACAACCCAAGGGCTGATAAGAGGATAACTGCAGTGCTGGTATTTCCACCTCTTCTGTGGACAGTGCAGGTAGTAACTATGGAAAGAGGGATTAGGGTTGAAGTGCATCTTTGCATAAAGCGTGTATTTAGTGAGGGATTATTTTAAGCCCCACATTGCTATCCTGATCACTTGGATCATATAAGATCTGTGTGACAATTTCCATTCTTCATATGAAAAAGTAAAACTAAAAATGTAATTTAAAGCTTTAAGGCCACAGTCAGAAAGGGAGTGTCATCACTGTTGTTCCATAGACCTAGGTTTTGGATCTGTGTAGCAAAGTCTGCTTTGCTGAGAACTTCTTTCCTACAGAGCAGAGGGACCCATTTAGTTATGGTTTGGCTCCTCAGTCTCAGAAACTGACATACAAAGTTAACTTTACCTGTGGCTTTTATATGTCAACCCTATTGCTGTAAAAGGGGTCAAATTGTGAGTTTAACTGCTAAAAAGCTAGAATTTGCAGCTTTTTCCAGTTAAAGGTCTGACTCGCAAACAACTCTTCAGTCTAAGGGAATTACTGGCCACCTCCTGTGTAGACAGTGATAAAAATAATAGTAAAAGTGGGGTCTTGTGAAGGGGAAAAGCACGGTTCATTTTGGCCTGCCCACTTGCAGCTCCAGGTTAGGAGCTGGCTCCTGCCCAGTGATGCTGATGCAGATGGCATGGAGGTGAGTACAGCAGTAGCGAGATGTGGGACACACGTATGTAGAAAAGCAGGCTTTTTCTCTTCATTCAATGAACCTGCTGCTGATTTTTTTTTTAATACTAGTAACGTCAGTCCCTGTCTTCCCAAATTGATGCAAGAGTCTTACTTGTTATATAAAACAATATCTGGCTTCCAGATCTGGCCAGATGGTACTCGGATGAATTCAGCACCTCCATAGTCCGCTGGATTCCACCGAAGCTTGTAATCGTTCCAGATCTAATTATGGGAGAATGAGTCTATGTTAGATTTGTGAAGAAATTGAAATTCAGTGGACCAGATTCAAACCAAGTGCTGTCATATCACTTCTAGGGTGGTTTTATTTTGGATACTACAATGATTAAGTGTTTCCTTGACAAACACATATGTCTGCTGTTTATTCATATGGAGATTGTGGGCCTGTTGGTCTAGGTATGACTTAGACGCATGTGACTCCATGTCCTAGGAATGTCTACTCAGTAGTAGAAACAAGGTGAAAGAGGGAATGAGACATTCTCTTATGTAGTGTAGGACTCTCTCCTATTGTAGAACTTTAATAATAACTTAGGTCTGAAAAAGCCAGGTAACTGTAAGATGGTGAAACAAATTGACAGGAGGCTGTGCTGCTAGATGTGAGCGTTGCGAGGGAAGGACCCTGGCTGGATGGGCTAGAAAGAGCTGGAGGGTGTCATTGCTCAGATAAGTAAGAGTCTTGTTCATTAGGGCTTGTTAACCCCCAGTTGAACAAAGTTGAATATTAAGCTGAAGCTGGGAATTAAGTTGGTTATTAAGCTGACTGCAACAGTAATTGTATTTTTAACCCGTAAAGATCCTTTCAAGCGAAGTCAACATTTTTGGTTTGTTCTCACTTTCTGGGAGCTAAGCAGCACCAACTGACGCTATGTGGGCCCTCTGTGCTGAGGTGCTTCCTCAGTGCATCAGTGCCTGCCCCGGCTGCGTGTTTGGGAGTCTTCAGAGCAAAAAATACAGTATCTAGTGACTATGTTATTAAAAGCGTAGGAGGGTTACGGCTGCAGCTGACGATCCGCAACTTGCGTTTAACGACTGCACCCCAAGCCAGGCCCGTATTTAAATGCTGCAGCACCCAGAGTCGGTGAAGCAGCAGGGTGGAGGGGTCGGCGGCGACGGCGACCTCGTTTCTGGCCGGTCACTTAACCAGGTGCGAGGTTCTCCCTTGCAGAGGGCCGGCCGGGGCCGGGCCCTAGCCCTGCCC